TTCCCCTCACTCCCCGCAGAGGGGTACCGCCTCTGACCCTGGAGTATCCGATCCCCGCCCGATTTTATCTTCCCCAGTTCGCACTCACGTTAGAAGGCTCTCTCAGTGGATTCTGCGTCCTTTTTCTCCCAATCTCTCAGGTTTTGTAAGGTTTCCAATGGCTTCAGATCTTTTCTGTGTGATATATGGGCACGAGTGCAAGTACGGAGCTCCTTACTTCTCCGCCATCTTGCCCCTTCCCCCCAAGTGTTGAGAGTTCTTACACTCATGATCAACCTATCATTGCTTTTTTATACTTTCTGAATTCACAGCAGGGTGGAAAGTAATAACGATTCGCCAAAGTGCTACTCTTGCAGGAATGGTGGTTGATTTCTAAAGAGTTGGAATCAAGGATTCAATGTGCTCAGGTTCTTTGAATCAAGGTGGTTACCTCAAGTCCCAGGTTCCCAGATAGGAGGGGCAAATAGGAGGCTTAAGGTGGAATAGGCTTCTGTCATCCTGGGTCAGCCTATTGGCTTCTACTTCAGGCCTGTCCCCGTGGTTAGTGTGGAGACATGGTATTGGCCATGGGCAGCTCCACTTTGGGACCACCAGCCCATGAGGATGTACAGTTCTCCGACCTGCATTTACATACCGAGTCTCTTTTCACTCTTCCATGGCTTCATTTAAAAAACTTCGGGGGCGCCTTGGTGGCTTAGTCGGTTAAGCGTCCGACTTTCGCTTAGGTTATGATCTCGCGGTTCGTGGGTTGGAGCCCCGAGTCGGGCTCTGTGCTGACTGCCAGCTCAGAGCCTGGAGCCTGTTTCAGAGTCTGTGACTCCCTCTCTTTCTGACCCTCCCCTGCTCACGCTGTCTCTCTCTCTCCTAGAAATAAATAAAACATTAAAAAAAAAAAATCTTTGACCCATATTCTGCAATCTGTGCTTCCTTTTCTCTCCCCAACCACAAGTCACTCCTTTCTTGTTCAGTGGAATATATACTATGGCAGTAGATAATATGCTAAACTTTGGGTTTATGAAAGAAAAAAAAATTGCAGATACCGGTTTCATTAAAGGTGAATTGAATCTGCGGTCAGGAAGTGATTCTTCAAAGCCCATCTTGCTAGTTGGTGCCTAAAGTATCACTCTCCCATCTGTATACCTTCATTTTAAGGAATCGACCCTTCGGTCCTGCAGATTCACTATATGACATGAGGCTAGAACACATCATACACAAGAGCCGATTTAATTTATTTCTTATGATGAGGTAATGACTCAAAGTTCCTCGGCCGAGTTTCACAGATATCCATTTAATCAATCAAATGCTTTGGGAGCAGTGATAAAATATCATTAATCTTAGTTTTCACATGCATAAAATGAGGATAGTAACTTATAAAATAGTTTCGAAGATTTATTCATTGGGGTAATATAAGTAAAGTGGCTGGCACTATCTTGGGATAAGGTAGATGTTTAATTAATGAACATGCCTTTTCCCCTTGTTGGACTATGTGCTCTGTGAAGAATAGATTTATGTTTTCTGTTCCTTCTGTGGCTTCCCACAGTACAATACAGTGATCTACATATGGCAGTTAATGTTTACTGAATGATATGATCTGATTAATATGGAATTGAGTAAATGAAAGTAAGGGGTTGGCTGGCCCCAGCCACTGTGGAGTTAGCAGTTGGAAGCACCCAGGAAAAGCACCTGGAGCAGAAGCACCCAAGGAAAGCCTCATGCCATGAACACCAATGTGTGATTCAAAATAGGCACTAACAAGAGACTGTAAGGTTTTTGTTTTAATGCTGAGCTTCTGCTATGATTTGATCCTACTTAGAGTCAGGACAAGGGCAGTACAAATGAAAGACTAGAAGAATTTATTTACTGAGGAGATGTGATCTATAGATTTATGGTGAGATGGATGCAATTTGATTTATAGAGGAAAATTTCACATACCCCTTAATGGCACTAAGCTCTAGGTAATAAGATAGCCAAAATCCTCAAGAAAGACCGCTAAGTTTTTAAGACATTTGTGAAACCTTGTAAATCAAGAAGACCCATGCTATGTCCTTCTCAAAGTTACAAACTAAATAAGTACAAACATAAGAGGATAAATAAGCAGCATGTGAACATTATTTATAAGAATAGAGATAATTTGGGGTACCTGGGTGGCTCAGTGAGTTAAGCATCGGACTCTTGATTTTGGCTCAGGTCATGATCTCATGGTTTGTGAGTTCAAGCCCTACATCAGGCTCTGCACTGATAGAAGCAGGCTCCAAGCTCTGAGGTGTCAGCACAGAGCCAATCGTGGGGCTTGAACCCATGAGCTGTGAGATGATGATCTGAGCTGATGTCAGATGCTTAACTGACTTAGCCACTTGGTGCCCCTCAAAGACCCTCTTTTTAAATTTTTTTTAATGTTTTATTTTATTTTTTGAAAGACAGAAAGACAGAGTCTGAGCAGGGGAGGGGCAGAAAGAGAGAGAAACACAGAATCGAAAGCACACTCCAGGCTCTGAGCTAACAGCACAGAACCTAATGCGGGACTTGAACTCAAAAACTGTGAGATCATGACCTGAGCCAAAGTTGGCACTTAACCAACTGAGTCACCCAGGATCCCCAAAGACTCTCTTTTTAAAGAAGTTTTTCTCTCCCTCCCTCTCTCTCAAAATAAATAAAGAGACCTAAAAAATAAAGTAAATAACATGCCTGTGTGGCTCATTAGGTTAAGTCTGACTCTTAGTTTTGGCTTAGGTCATGATCTCACAGTTGATGAAATCGAACTATGTATTGGATTCTGTACTGACAGCACTGAGCCTGCTTGAATGCTCTCCATCTCCATCTGCCCCTCCCCAGCATCTCTCTCTCTCTCTCTCCCCCTCTCTCTCTGTCTGTCAAAATAAATAAACTTAAACAAATAAATAAAAGGACCTCATAGGTTATCCCTAAACCACAAAAAGCCAAATAGAGCATTTGAGATTGTTTATCTAAAATACTGGCCCAGCCCTGTAATATTCTCAGGAAGCATGGCTCCCTCTTGTGGCCTAAAACCATGTGTCCATTAGTTTGAACCTCCTTGACTGTGCAGTTTTACAAGAGCCAGTCTTTTGCCCACTACACCTTGAACTTTGTAACCTTTTCGTTTCATTACTATTGGTGGGAAAATAAGCATGGCTTTGGAAAATATGGGAGAGAGATATACCGGGCTTTGTTACCTCTCATGATTCCTAATCTGTTCTTCTCCTTGCCTCTTGTGGGAAGGGTAGTAGGGCATCTAACTCTCATGCTGGACATTCAGTGTTCTCATGCTCTCTATTTTCTCATCAAAGTCTGTATGCTGTTTCTCTCTTTTAACTTACCCAAAGGAATAAGTAAATAATCCTTAAAATGTTATCACCCAAAAAGCCTGGTTTCATTAAAAAAAAAAAAAAAAAAGAATTAAAGGAATTTAATTGGTTAATAGAATTTGGTGTGTTAGATAATAGATAATGGAAGTTGGGGCGCCTGGGTGGCTTAGTCGGTTAAGCGTCCGACTTTCCGACTTTCGCTTAGGTCATGATCTCGCGGTTTGTGGGTTCGAGCCCCGCGNTTACCCAAAGGAATAAGTAAATAATCCTTAAAATGTTATCACCCAAAAAGCCTGGTTTATTAAAAAAAAAAAAAAAAAAAGAATTAAAGGAATTTAATTGGTTAATAGAATTTGGTGTGTTAGATAATAGATAATGGAAGTTAAAATATGAGATCCATGGAAAGCAGGAATAGCCTTTAAAAGTGACATGTTGGGCCACCTGGTGGCTCAGTTAGTTGGCTCAGGTCCTGATCTCACTGTTCATGGGTTCAAGCCCTGCATTGGGCTCTGTGCTGAGAGCTCAGAGCCTGGAGCCTGCTTCGGATTCTGTGTCTCCCTCTGTCTCTGCCTCTCTCCCACTTGCATTTTCTCTCTCTTTCTCAAAAATAAAAGTATTTTAAAAATTAAGAAAAAATTTCGGAAACAATATGTCATAAAGGCCAGGAATTAAAAACTTATAGACTAACAGTTTGTGTCTAGTTCTCAGTCACTTTTAAAAAAAAATTTAGGCCACTTTGTTTTTTGTTTTTTTTTAAAGATAAATTAGTTAAACATGGAGAGATTTCACATAAAAACAAGACACAACTTGGATTTCTGTATCCTTGGACAAATTCCACATTCCCTCATGGAAGCAGCCAATGGAAGCTGGATAATGGCCACCTGTTACAGAGCAAGCACACATCTTCCATTTCACCACACACCTCAGCACTCCCTGCAGGGGTACAGTTGACTCATTTCCCTCAGTTCGTACCTGCTTGACTCTTGCAACACTGAGTTTGTGATCTGTAAACTTACAGCATGGAAGGCCCATCTATATCTTTATTATAGGTGACATTGGGCTGTAGTCCTATAATACATTTTTTTTTAACTGAATAATAGTCAAGGGACCCATGTGTAGCCAAAGTAGGGAATGCAGTCCAGAGGCATGCTGTCTTCACAGGGGAGGCTGACCAGGAATGTCAAGGGAGGGACACAGGGAAATCTCAGGCCATAAAGCTGTCAATTTCTTAGTTACCAGGGATCTGCCAAAATGTAGATGTATTTCAACTTAATGCAGAACAGCAAAATGTCAAAAGCAACAGGAAAAATAAAATGTGGATTTATCTATGTTTAGGCTATTTCTGTGAGTCTTCATTTATGTCTGTTGGTTTATTGATGCCATTGGACAAATGCTAGTTACTAATCCATTTGATTGTGTATTTGTGTATGGCCTTTCCAAGGTTGTTAAATCTGGGAAGACAGATTTTCTCCTCTAGTTCTTTCCTATTTTCTTTCCCTTTCTTTTTGTATCCCCTTACCCCATTTTCCACAAAAGAAAACACCTTAAAACAATACACCTTTTAGGACTATAGAGATTCAAATAAAAGTTTCATCGCTTTTCTAGTTGCTGCTGCTTTTTTTTTTTTTTTTTTTTTTTGGATAAAGATGGAATCCTGTGAAACTTCTTTCTTTTCAGGATTTAGAATGAGGCAGCGCCATGTCCTCATGGAACCCACAGGGCCTGCGGGCCACTGCCCTCATTTGGTGGAGTCCGTTCCTTGTGAGGATCCAATGTGTTACCGATGGCTGGCGTCTGAAGGCATCTGTATCCCCGATCATGGAAAATGTGGCCGAGGACACCGCATCCTGAAGGCTGTATGTCAGAATGACCAAGGTATGAGGCAAAGACTCATGTGTTGTTAAGTGATATCTGCCCAATGACATGTCACCACTCTCTAACAGGTCATTTTCCCAAGGGAAGGAAACACAGTTTCCCTATCCTTGATTACTTACTTCTGTTTAAGCCAGGTGCTACATGGCTGCAGAGTAAGCTGCCTTGACTTAATATGAGGCCACATACTCCAAAACAAAACGTTATGATTATGCCTCAGTGCAATACAGTGAACCTAGAGAATTCTCTGCAATTTTTCATTTATCAAGACAAATAGATTACACAATTCCTCTGGGTGGTCTTCAACTTATCAATACCAAACAAGTTTTATTTGCCTTTTTTGAGGTCGATATGTAACATGCTTTTATATATTTTTAACAAATACTACCTTGTAAAGATTCCAGGGCTACACTTCTCTCCAAGTTAAAGGAAAAAAAATACTAAGCTATATCTTTTCATTTATGGAGCATTCGACTACACTCAGTTCTAGAAGTAAAACTGACATTTCTAAAGAACCATTTTAATATATGAATTGTCAAGATTTACAAAACTATTAACAGTGGTGTCTTTCCTTCATTGTCAAGCTCCTAGTACAATGGTTGTTTGAAATGAATGGGATTTAGAAAACATGTAAGTCACATGGAAATAAGGAAAGTGACATTTTTAAACTTTTATTCTACAGTTTAAAAAAAATCAGTCTGTTGGAAGAATATTGAATATCTCTATTAATCCCATTTATAATGCTCTTGATGTGGGGAGTGAAATGTTTTGATGTATGGAGTGACATAATCCCTAGAATAGAAGGAAATTACAAAGTGGATTCAGAGGGGCTATTCTCATCCACACAGGGTTGACATTCAGCAATGGTTTCCTTGTTTCCTTTCTTCCTGTCTCCCCCTGTAACCCTCTTTCTCTCTTTATCTCTTTCCCTCCCTTCCCTCCCTCATTTTCTTCCTTAGTTCTTTCCTTCTTCCCTCTTCTTCCTTTCCTCCTCCTTTTGATCTGTCCATCTTTCTTTCATTCTTTTTAAATCACCACCATAATAAATAGATAGACACTTTGTCAGGGAATATAATTGGTTATCTCATGAAAGGTATTTGTTTAATTAAAGGTCAACAACACACTGTATTAGCTACATCCTTTTTGACAAAGTCGTTAAAACTAATAGTGGGTCTCATATTGCCAAATAATTTTTGAATTGTGGTAATGTATGTACATTATTAACAGAAGCAAATAAGATCACTGTGGTATTGCTTTTCTTTGATTTCAGGAAGAGTAGTATAGAGGTTTAAACCTGGAGTCTAGGGGCACCTGGGTGGCTTAGTCAGTTGAGTGTCCACCTTTGGCTCAGGTCATGATCTCAAGGCTCATGAGTCCAAGCCCTGCGTCGAGCTCTGTGCTGACAGCTCAGAGCCTGAAGCCTGCTTCAGATTCTGTGTCTCCCTCTCTCTGCACCTCTCTCTCTCTGTCTCTCTCAAAAATAAATAAACATGAAAAAAAACCTGGAGTCTAAAGTCAGCCAGGTTGGAATTTCAAGTCTGCTACTCACCTGGTAGATGATCTCAGGCAAATTAATTAATTTTGTGGAGGCATCCTTTCCTTCGGCTTTAAAATAGGAGTAATAAAACCTACCTCTCACTCTCAGAGTGTGAGAGTTAAACTGGTTATATAAAAGTGATTAGTGAAGTGCCTGGCACATAACCATTCAAAATAAGCTACAAGCTTATTTTTCTTATAATGCACGTTTATTACTGTTCTCTGCCCTGGAGGAATTGTGCAAAAAGCGTTCTTATGTAATATGTAAATAATGATGAGTATTAGAATAACCATACCACTTCTTCCTCCCAATCTCCAGCTGTGGAATCAAGAAGATCCTTTGTGTGGTTGAGTCCCAAAGACAAATGACTGTCAGGCTTTGTCGTCTCACAGCAGGTATTAGAGGCTTGTCATGATATATTATGTCTATAGGGTTGGGGAGTTTTTCACAGTTCACAATCTGTGTCTTCTGTAGTATTGCGGAGTGTGATACTGTGATTTATAATTAGAAATATATATCCTTCCCATTTCCAGTGCAGAGCTGCTAAAACTCTTGGAGTTTCCCGAGCAAAAGGAGCAATGGGAGCATCTTTTGTTACCTTTGTTCTTTTGTCCTCAATTCCTGAAGTTGCTTCTGTAAAGGTGAATTGGGTGTGTTATTACTCAAAAACAAAGGCAAAAACAAAAAAAGAGAAATGAATGTGTTGTTATTCATAAAAAGCACTATTCCTCCACATCTGGGTTTATGGTAATGAGATGATTTGTGGAAAGCACCTAAGGATGAGAGCTGGTTGGCAGAGGAACCAACAAAAGGGTTGGAACTTTCAATCCCACCCACTGATTGCCATGGAGGGGAGAGAGGCTAGAGGTTGAATCAAACACCAATGGCCAAATGATTTAATCAACTGTGCATATGTGAAGAAACTTCCATAAAATCCCAAAAGAATTGGGGGTCTAGAGAACTTCCAGGTTGGTGAACACTGGAAATTTGGGGAAAGTGGCAACGGAAATTCCATGCCGTTTCTTCATAGCTCACCCTATGCATCTCTTCCACCTGGCCATTCCTGAATTACATCTTTCACAATCATTTGATCATGTAGCAAGTAAAACAGGTTTCCTGAGTTCTATGAGCCATTCTGGCAAATTAAGCAAACCTTAGGAGGGGGTTGTGGGAAACTCCAATTTGTAGCTAGTTGGTTAGAAGCATAGCTCACCTGAGCTTGTAGTTGACCCCTGAAGAGGAATGTGGTCTTGTAAGACCAAGACTTTTCTCTGTGGAATCTGATGCTATTTCTGGGTGATGTCAGAACTGAGTTGAATTTTAGGACGTCCAGTTGGTGCTGGAAATTTCCATGGTTTGTTGTGGGTAAATCGTCCCACCTCCCCAACACACATATACTCTCCCACTGAAAATGGACACAGAATCCTTTCTACAGAGGTATTAGTTTTACCATTGTATAGCACTTCTAGAATTTTATTGCTTATTCCTGTGAAATGGCTAATTTTCAACATTGACCTACACTCTTGATTTCTATGGGAGAACATTAGAAATTACTACTTGTTCATATCAATTCCATGAAGTCTTTATGGTATTTACATACCTGGATGGCTCCTTAATCACTTGTAGGGTATCAGCCATGGTCATGGTTACAAGAATGCTAGGCTGGTAGCTAAAGCAGTCTTTTCTCCAGTGAGCAATTGAAAATGTGGTCTGGTTGCACATTTTGCATTTCAGCCTCTGTGAGATTCTGGATAATTTATGATAGAAGTTGAACAGAAAAGTGTTCCTCTACACTTGTGGGGATGAGCACTGGGTGTTATGTGGAAACTAATTTGACAATAAACTATTTGTAAAAAGAAAAGTGTTCCTCTTTAACTCTCCACACATTATCATGGTCTTTCCATATCTGCAGGAATTGCCAAAACTGTTGACATTCATTTAAATGCTTAAAGAAGAAAAAAAAGAAAGGTTGAGCTATATTTAATAAGTAAGCTGTGATTTTTTTTCTAGTAACATTTGCTAGTTTTCTTTTCATCACTCTGAATTTATTAATTGTTTCATATGAACTTTATTCACAATTTATTTAGAGTTAAGTGGATAAGACCAAAATAAGTACCTTCATTTTGGTAAACAAACAAAGAAATAAACAAAACAAGACAAATTCATATTAGATCTAATCAGACTTAAATCCTGCTATAATTTGATAGGGTAACTTTTTCATATATATGCATATGGTATATGCACATATGTATTATATATATGTTATATGTTATATATATATATATAACATATATACATATATAACATATATGTAATGTTCAACATCCTTGCAAAATACCTACATCCCATTCAGATTGTGGAACCAAGAGATTTCCACATAGCCATGATCAAACTCCTGTAGGCCTCTTGAAAGTGTCTTGTTGGGCATTTGTGACACTAGGAAGAATATTTCTCTTTCCCAGCAGATTGTTTAAATAATTAGTTTAGGGGCACCTGGGTGGCTCAGTCAGTTGTATATCCAACTCTTGTTTGGTTCAGGTAATGATCCCGGGGTCATAGGATTGAGCCCTGTGTCAGGCTCCTCACTGAATATAGAGCCTACTTAAGATTCTTTCTCTCCCTCTGCCCCTCTCCCCCTCTTATGAGCTCTTCCCCTTTCATGTGTGTGCGCTCTCTCTCTCTCTCCCTCTGTCTCAATTTTTTTTTAAAAAATCAGCTTAGAGCCTTTGAAAATATGCAATCTCTGTCACACTGAAGCCAGTAAGTAGCAATTTGAGATATCCAAAACTTGTGGGCTAGTTTAAGAATGTAATTAACTTTAGACTATCAAAGATCCAAGTACTCATTTATGAATTTCTACAGCTGTCTCTGTAGAGGTATGTTTTGATCCAGTCTCTACTTTATTAGTGATACTGTCCAGTCTTGCTGAAGTTACTATTTCTCATCCAGCCTGTGATCCAGCAAATAGTGGGTTAGGAATACTTATTTTTAGGAAGAAAATTGTATAAAAGATTACATGAATGAGTATTCTGATTTGGAATCTGATTTCTAATACTTTGAGTGGTCGATGAACTTTGATTTCTTTCCTCTGCACAAAATCATGCCACTAGTCTGAGTCAATAGAAAACTACTAGGTATAGAATATACATAGGTTTTGCTTGTCTCATTGACAAGCAGGTTTTCTAAAAGTCAAAGGGGTCATTTGAAAGTAAATGGAGTGTGGTGCAAACTACATGCCCAACCTATTTCTCCTTTAGATTATCAGGTTAACCTTCTGGGTTTTAAACTTTGTTTTTCAAATGTATAACTAGTTCATTGTTGCCAGGTTTCACTCTCAGTTGATGAAAGTTTGCCACTATGTACCATCTTCCCAGAGCAAGTTGGGAAAATCCCTATAATGCCAGAGCAGTGGACAGCATCCCTAGTGGCTGGCAGGTGATCACTACTTATCATCTTTCATGTGTCT